GCTGATGTTTGGGAGGTGTTTTATTCACAGTGTGTGCTCTAAATCTCCTCCAAAGTTGAAAAAAATTCCAGGGAGGTGTCTTGAAAGTGGTTAAAAACAACATAGTCCACAAAAAAAGCCCAATCTTCCTTTAATAATGATGTAGAAAATGAACATGAGCAGCAGAATGCTGCTGAGTGCTCAGCACACACAGATTCATCAAAAAAATGACATTTTTGAGGCACAAACAGGTACCTCCAGAACCAAACACGATGCTTAAAAAAAAACAACAAATAATCATCTTCAGAACAATCAACTTCTTACAGTATTTCTTCTATTATAATACTCTTAAAGCACATTTTGAAGAAAATGTTGTTACAGATAGGAAATGCATTTGTGGAGGAATTTTGCCACATCAAAAAAATGGCTGCAGGACAAAGTTCAAACACAATTTTTTGTGCTACAACAATCTGTTTCTTGTGATCTTTAATAAAAATGAAGTGAAACTTGCTTGTGGAAATACAGAGTTATCTCCAAGGGCACAGTAACACCCCCTGAAGTGGACATTTTCATATGATACCATTTTGTAGCAGCATAAACATCCCAAGGAAGGAAGAAAAATTGCTACAAAACTCCTTTAACAGACAAAGACCATAAATCTTCCAGGCTGTTTTACAGCCAAAAAGCTCTTTTGCCATGAAAGCATTCCCATGTGCACACAGGGAAAATCAGGATGCCCAGGCACAAAAAGTGTTTGGCAGGTGCTCTGACCAGAAGGATGGAGTTTCTTCCTTTTATCTTGGTTTTGTTCTTTTAATAAAATAAAATTTAAAAAATCCACAATTCTTCTTCCTGGAGGACTTTAATGACAAGTTTTGTGTGCTTTAATACATCCACTCCTGGGGCAAGGTGTTGTTAAAAGAAGAGCCAGACAGGATTACATGTGGCACATCCCTCTGGCCTAAGGAAGAAGTTGGCATCACTCTTCTACACTGCAATGTTTGTGCAGCAAAAAGGTGCAAACAACAACAAAACTTGGCAAGTAATCAGCTTTTAAATATTCAGCTTTGGTGTGTAAAGGATGGGATCCCACTCAGGGAGACAGAAATGCCACGTGCTGATTTTACTGGACAACGCTCAGCGCAGCCAAACTGCAGCGTCAACACAAGCTGGATTTGGGGGGGAAAAACCCAAAGCAGCTCAGGCTGGGCTCTTCCACAAGAAAATCAACCCCTTTTCAGAAAGGGCTGCTCTTCTAGAAGGTTCTTACGTGGCAGCTTGAGGGCGAACCACCACTCCTCCAGTGCAGCGGCTGGGGCGGCGCGGGGACTCGGTCGCCATCGTTGCGGGCACACACCTGCAGCAAACACAGCACTTTCAACAAAACTGCCACAAAATTGGTTATTCCACAAGTTCTTCGTGTGTCCTTCAGGGCGGTGAGAGAGAAATTTCACTTACACGCACCTGCAGGACTCTTTACAGCCCTTTTTTAATGGGAGAAAGAAAATCGCGCACCAAGCGGGAAACTGCTTCAATCACTGCAGCTCCTGGAATGTTTGTGAAAATATAAAACCAAACCCACACACATGCATGATAAAGGGGAAAAGTATCTCAAACTGTACTGGATGATCTTTAAGGAGGTCTCCAACCCAAACCACTCCATGATTCTATGAGTAAAGATAGTGGTACAGGTACACAGTTGTCATCACCATTACACAAACCCACTATTTCCTAATGGGCTGCTGGCTCAGAAAACAATTATATAAAAATAACGTGCAGTCACAATTGCAGTGTACTGTACTCATGAAAACATGGGTTACATTGCAGCTCACACATTCTGCTGCTTTATGTCAGCTTTTTGTGCCATCCTCAAGCTTTCCGTCACACTTCTGTTCTCCAGGGGAAATTCTGGGTGACATTCCTACAGGCAGAAAGCACCTGAGGAGCACCCCAGATCCCAGCCAGCTCCTCAGGGAACCCCTCAGCTGCTCTGTGCTGTCCTCCCACCCCAAACTTGTTCACAAAGTAAAAGAAAAAGCCAAATCCCCAAGGAGGTATCAGTTATCAGCATCATTTCACGTCAGGCCAGGCTCTGCAAGGACCAGCCCATTACGGGAGGGAGGATAACCACTCGGAAATTGACAGCAAAACAATGATTAGTAACAAAACGTTCAGCAACACAACAGCAGCCTGACACACGCGCCGAGGAACCTCGAAAGGCGAAATG